AACCGGGAAGCACTGGACGTCCGTTTCGTCCCATTGTGCGACTCCTCAGCAGTGCGCATCCACGACCTCGCCTCGTGAGAATCGAACCCAGGATCTACAAGCCTCGCGCCAGAGCACTTAACCTTCAAACCACTGAGACGGCATCCGATGGTGTTTATGTCTAACTCCAACCAATCCACGAAATTGAGCGACACATTCGCCAATATCTTTTGTGAGTTACTATCTCACAACAGACATGCTTTGAACTCCACTGGTGACTGTTTCTCACTAGAACTCTTGGATTTACCTCTCGAAGTCAGTTACTAATGAGCATATGATTATTATTATTATCAGAAGGGGTTTTGTGGAGATTTAGTATTTTCATAATTGAAAACGTGAGTCAATTGAAGCTAGACTACCATAGAAAACCTGGAAGCACTGGACGGCCGTTTGGTCTTGTTATGGGACTCCTTAGCAGTTTTCCACTGATTGTTTAGCTTCAATTGACTCACGCTTTCAACTATGAAAAAAATATTTGATTGATAATGATTTAGATACTTCTAGAGTTTATTTAAAATAATATTTTCAATTAAACTAATCTGATTTTCTCTATCATAATGATTGTATATTTACAAATAAACTGATATAATAATGTAATCTAATGATTAAATTAAATTATCTGATTTAGATTTATATAAATGACATTGTTTTTCTCAGATTATATATATGTATATATTAATGAATGGTAAACTTTATCATTAAGACTGAAATACCTTCATCGGCTCCTTAATTCTTTCAAGTATCAAATTAATCTTAGATAATAAAACAAAAAAAAGAAAATCGGCGTTTTCTTTTTTTCTTTTTTTTCTTTTCTTCCAAAAAAACACAAAAAACAGTGAAATAATCAGTTTTGACTTAAAAAAAAGTTGGGAAACAATGTCAATGACAAGAGGTAATTCATTGAAATGAAAATTATATTTGAGTTCAAGTGGGACTGTTTAATTTACTTTTTTTTAAATACTGAACTTAAAAATGATGAACACCATAAAAAACGGTAATTTTTTCTATGGTTTCACAAAAAAGATTAAAAAAAATAAAGTAAATACTGAAGAGGAGTAGATATTTGCTTAAATTTGTCTTGGTAAATGGAGCACATCCATTGAGATATAAAATAAGATTGATTCAAAGAAGAGTTCTGTTTTCGGCGAATTCATTTTTGATCAGGAGGAGTTTTGTGGAGATTTCAGTATTTTCATAGTTGAAATCATTAGTCAATTGAAACTAGACCACAATGGAAAACTTGGGAGTGCTGGACGGCCGTTTTGTCCTATTTTTAAAGCTGTATAATCGCACCGATATATACTTATATTTCAGGATATTAATAATTATAATAATGATAATTTGTATTGTTAATCAAAGGACAAAATAGAAAGAATCTGAAAAATGAGAATTTTTAGAATGCAATAGTACTGTAAACAAGCATACAGTAAATATATAACTTGTAAGAAACTTATTCGTCACTTTTATTATCTAACCACTATGGATGATCTAATGGTATTCGACATAAATAACTGTTTTTGAGATAGATGGTTTTGTGCAAATTGAGGTAACTGACTTAAGTTGAAAAAAAGTAGTCAAGGACTAATACAATCAAGTTTTTGACATTTATCCAGCCAATTTCTGTTTGTTATAAAGTAAACATTTAAACAGACATTTCGTTTAATATTATCGTCCAAGGTGGACTATACTGTTTAAACACTCAAATCAATGTATTGAAAGGCTACTAAATGATATCAACAGTAATTTGATTGTTGTGACCTAAACAGTAGGAGTATAGGAAGCCTAACAAGTTTATCAGTGAAGTCGTACAATGCAAATTCATTACATATTTGGTACACACACAAAATGACTAGTTATTCCGATGTTAAATGATTTAAAGAGTTGAATTCTCGTCGTAGCAAATAATTAGGAAGTATATATGCACCTGTAAAATAATAATTTTTTCAAGTAATATTTCATATCATGAACTGATCATAGCTAGACCACTAGCGAAAACACTGAACAACTACTTCATCGTAGTATAAGGCTTCTCATCAGTGCACATTTACGAACTCACATCATGATTTCAACTAACTGAAAAGAAGAAGATAGAATCAAAATGTTTGGGTCATTTAGATTGCTAAGGCAGTTGAAGCTTAAACACAGACTCGCTTTGAATAATAAGGTCAAATTCAAGTCTTCTAACTGCCATGTTTTCCGTGCAGCTTAATTAAATAAAACTAACTGTTTATCATTCACTGTTAACTCGTTAGTTAGATCATCGTCATTCCTCGCGTCCAACAGGTGACTTATCACTGAACTACGAAGTGTGCTTGTCTATAAAAGCCTAAATGTTTGGATATTGACCAAATGAATAGATGATATATTATTTGTCTTAAGGTAAAATGATTGCAAATTCTATTCTGTTTAGAGACTATAAGTGAATAATGGGTAACACTGAAATATCTATCTGATACTTCCAAGATTTCTGACTCATACTAATTTCTAATAAATAACACTGTTTACAAAATCTTTAAGATTATTTACCAAACCGTTAAATATAAGCTTATTAAAACTTTTGATAACTAGTACAATGTTTTATAAGTAACCAATCAGTCAGTGAACTGGAAGAATAAGATAAGTGGTGAGAGAGAGAAAGAGAAGTAAATAAATTGTAAGCAGCAATAACAATAATAATAACTCGAAACGAAGAATTCACTTTAAATATATTTCTATATGAGAAAGAAATAGATGGATAGGTGGATGGACGGAGATTTTTTATTTAATTTGTCATAGTAATTGACTGTTATTGTCAGCATACTTATGATCTAATTTATTTACCTTAAGTTCTATTACAGTATTTGTTTCTGTTTCTTTTATTCTCTTGTTCTTGTTATTACGTTCATTTACTTAGGAAGTATATACATATATATATAGTGTAGATGAGCCATCTTCATTTGACAAATAACAAAATAATCACTGTAGAAAATGGAAGTTCTAACAAGAAAACAGAAACATTCTCATGAGAGGAAAAAAGCTCATAAGTGGAAGATTATGTACTATTAATCAGTAAAGAATAATAATAATAATAAACCATGGTAGATCAAAAACGCCAATTGTAAAAGAACTTTATGATTTACTACAAAAGTGAATAAGTTAACATCTTATAACTTCATTTAAGTGTTCAAATGTTTTTTGTAGTTATCATCATCAAAAAAAAGTCGAATATAACTAGTTTATTCAAATGAATAGTGTTTTCATTTATGCCCTCAACTTCTTAATTTAGTTATACAGTGTCTTATTTCATAGCCTTGTTCGGAACGTTTTGAAATTTATTTGTGCTCTAGAGAATTCTAAACTCTAATATATAGTCTCGAAGGTTTTCAATTGTATCTGGCTACACCAAATTCTCATTGTTATTATTTATTAATGTTTAATTCTTAATGGTTGTAAATTTCCTCGTTGTTGATATTTGTGACTGCATTTTTAATAATTATTCATTAATATATGTGCATATTGCAGGGATTTGCTTAATATACCGATATTATCACGAGTTTTAGTGAACAGCTAGACTGTAGCTACTAGTGGGATCCAGGACGAGCGTTTCGTCCTATTTTGAACTCCTAAAATGGATGTGCCTGTGTTCCAGTGTTATTACGCAAACCTAATCAATAATTTAGTCAAGAATATTGGCAACAGGATAGTTCATGGTATTACAAGTTAAATTAAAATTCATACGCCATGAGAAAACCAGTAACTATCTGAACTCATTAGCTCACTTATTGGAGCGTTGGGTGTTTGTAGAGAAAGACACTGAGTTACAGTCTCGGTGGGAAAATTAACATTGGGATGCAGGTGCATTCAAACGATAAGTCCTAAAGGGCGCAAAATGTAGATCTCGTATTCTATTACTATCCATATTCCATCTACTCTGTGCAAACCAATTTTATACACATAAATCTTAGTTGTTTCTGTTAAAGTGTATTCATACTCAATTGATAATAAACTGTTTTCGAAAACTTTTCACAACTGCTCCATGTGATTTTCAAGCTTGCAAAATGACGTGCGTACATTTCCTTTTGTTCGAATAATTATGACCACTTTTTGGGATTCCAAGGAACTAGGGAGAGGTCGTGAGAGAAATACATTTATTGTATTCTATCATAATCGTTTTACTCGCTTTGTAGATATTGATAAATCAAAGGAAATTTGTTGAAAATTTTCCCAGAAAATTTATCATCATTGTTATTGATGAAGATGTCTTATTCTATCTTTTGCAGTTCGTTTTAGATATACGAATAGAAAAACCAAGGTCATATATACTTTAATTAATTGTTACGTAAGTTTTAATATTAGTACATTTTCTCTATCTCATGTAGGGTCATAGTATCTAAGATTTAAAGTAATTCGAACTTGTTTCTTATGTGAAATAATGTTATCCACTTTATAAGCAAAGATGGATAGTGGCTAGCAGTGGAATCCAGTAGGCGCGTTTCGTCCGCACAGGATGCACATATGCCAACAAGAGACTGATCAACTGCAGTCCTAAATAACAATGGGAAGATACAAATAAACTACACCATGTGAATGTTATCCACTGTTAGAATGAAATTCGTTAAGAATAAGTTATATAATTCTATCAATGTTATGAATTAAAAAACATAACCTTGTTCACCACTAAATTTATGTAAATTTTATGCTGAGAAACAAAATACTTGATTGGTTGGAGAGGAATGTATAATGCATACGAATTAACAAAGCGAATATACTGAAAACCAACGGTTTGAAGATATACATAACGTGCTATCAGTCATGATGAAAGTGTAAATGACAATTAAGTAAAAAGATATCATTATTAGGATTTTCAGTATGATGTGCTGTATAATCGAAGCAATATGGTGCATATGTGATTATTGAATAATAGTGAATTGTGCGTGCAATTTGTAACATAAACCTTGAAAAAAAACACAACACGAACTAACCTGATAATACAGAGTAACATGTATTTTGATTACATTCATGCTTTTCAGCTAATGCTAATTTGATTTATTGAAGAAATAAAAAAATCAAATGAAACGGTCTTCAAATAAGCTTTATTGTTTTCAAGAGAAAGAAAATAAATAAACTGATAAACATTATGATGCTTGTTTCCATGGTACTATCCCATAAGACGAGATTGTGTATGGATAAGTAGTTATACAAATGTTTTAAATAATATCATTTGATCAACGCAAAAGAAGATCTGATGTCACCGATAGACAGATTATCTTTGGTCCTAATACGTACTTACAAGAATGAAATATTGTACTTAAGCTTACTATCAACTAGAATTTATGTGTTTACAGAAAAGGCCTTTTCGGGCCACAAATACACTGTTTCTAATTTTGTAAATTGATTTAAAAATATTGACTATTTTCCTGATTAAACCAGATTTATGTGATATGCCTGAGATATTGTAGTGGTTGTTTCGTCCTTATTTTAATTAAGGAACTTATGAAGGCTTCATATATATGCACGATTGTATGTTTAAAAATGAGTTAAGACTGTAACTTAACTCATATGAATAAAATGGTGTTATTCTCAGCCTTAACAGTTAGTGTTTGTTTTCATAAGTTTAGACTTCATATACATGTACTTTTATAAACGAGTATCCCTGCCCGTATTTACTTATATGCCTACGTAATAATTTCGTTTACTTACTTAAATGTTACTAAAATTATTTTCCTACACGTCTAGCTATGTAAGGCTCATCAGCTCAGTAGTTTATGTCTCCCGCCATGTTTGTTGGTTGTATAGTTTGACATGTGTGCTAAAATAAGGCATACTGATTAGTTCATTACGTCTTCTAGAGATTATGAACTGCTGGAAATTCAGGTAATAACGGTTATTCAGTCGATTGATAAACAAAGCATGAAGATGCCAGCAACAGAGTCTTTTTCAGTGCTTATGCAAATAACTTTGAGGTCCTTTGATTAAAACTGTTCACAGCTCGACAGAAACTGATATATTCAGCGCTAACAAATGAAAAGAAATTTCCACTTCTTACAATCCATAAATTATGTTTTAATTATCGTGAACCATTCGATTAATAATTCTGCGACATTAAATTGTAATGGACTCTTAGCAAAGCCTTCAACAAGGACACATATACGTCCAAATAAAAACTTCCGAAAAAACATACGGGTTTTCAGCATAAATGTTCTTGTTATCATCAAAATTATATAGGCATGATGTGAATCCAAGTAATATTAAAATCTCTTTCTTCCAAAACTAAATATCCTAAAGAGATTATTTTCATATCAAACCATGAGAAAAGATCAAGTATTCTGTTTATACCACTTTGGAATGAACAAAAACATATTCATTATAACCAAAGATGATAATTTCAAGGCAATCTGCACAGGATTTACATATGCCAATAAGAGACTAATCAATTGCAATCCGAAACATAAATGGGAAGATTCAAGCAAACAATAATAAGTGAATGTAAAAACATAATCAGTTACAAGGATCTTTAAATATTTTCTCTACAAATTAAGGTAGCTAGTTGAAAATCAAAAAATCAGTTTTTATTGGTTTTTGATGTAAAATAGATTTTTAGTTCATGTCATCTTGTGATATATTTGAAAGACTGTGGTACCAAGTGTAACGAGAACGATTATCTCTAACAATGCAATAAAGTGCATAAACTTCATTATATTTCAGACCTATCACGTGTATATAGTTCTATCCCAGTGTTGATTTTTACACTGAGAATTCAAACTGACATAAAGTTACTCTAGTCTCCAGCACAAAATCCACTGATCTACTGAATAAAATAGTTACTGACCGATTCATTGAGTGTAAAGTTATTTATGAGGGTTAATAATTTTTAACTTTACAATATGGAGGAAAACGTATCAGAATACACATTGGCTATAAGAAACTTATCTTTTGCATGCAACTGGCTACTTGCAAAAGTGTAAACTCTGAGTACAGACTAAAGTGCACTATGGAAGATTTTCAGGCTAACTGAAAACCACTTGACACGGCTACAAGACCCCATGAGTTTTTCATGATACATCGGACCTAGATGAAAAGTATCTTTAAATCTAACGTTAGTCTATTATTGCTACTTATTAACAAACTAACCTTTGATATTATGTTTTATTAGGTACAAACTGATTTTCTTTTTCTGTTCTTTATAGACATTAAAAGTTACCAAGAATTATCTGCAAAACGGTTTTTATACGTTTTGTTTAAATTATTATGTCTGCTTAAAAACTAGCTTCATGAATTGCTAACCACTTGAATAATTCACATTATCTTACTGTAAATACTCACCTACACCACATACATTAACCAGATCATGATGAAACTAAATATAAACGTTTCTTTGAACATTATGCAAAGTTCAATTTACTTAACTACTTTTTTTTAAACAAAATACATTCTAACTTATTTCTCTATCTTGTCTTCTTCTTCTTCTTCTTACTCTTCTTCTTGTTCTGTTTTTTTCTCTTATGTGCTTTTATAATTTATTTATTTTTCAAATGTCTAAGTTAACAGTCATTTGAATCTTTAAGTGTACTTCAATGAACTATTCCAAAGAGAGAGAGAGAGAGTGAATGAAAGCAAAAAAAAAAAAAAACAAGAATTTTAGTGAAATTCTCTTAAGCGTACTGATGATGATAATGATAATGTTGACGTTGAGAATAGTAGGAATAAAAAATAATCATAAAATTGAATACTAAATTAAATTCAATACTATAAAACTATTTTAAAAAAAGAAAGTGGAAGAATACAAACTACTCACAATAAATCATCCATGTAAATGTAGGGATTTCAATCTTAATGACAAATATGGTTTATTCTAATGAATACTTTAATATGGAAATATATAATGTATGAATATATAAGAATTTTCGTCTAAATTAGAGCGAATAGTTTCACAGTATTTGGACATCCAGTCGATGTAAGACATTAAAATAGGGAGAATATATTTGTAAAATTTCAGTGAATGAATTTGAAGTAAGGAAAAAACGTGGACCAAAATGCCAAGCGAAACATTGGATTTACTTCAAGTTCATTCGCTGAGATTTTACAAAGATATATTATTCCTATTTCACGAACTCTCTTGTTTGTTCAGAATTCAAGTATTGCAGAAATCAACTTGCTCCCGAATGAAATTGTGTCAGTGGTCCACTGGGTGCACCGATGGCAGTGACAACACACCGTTTAGTTTGATTGCATGTATATCTTCCTGTATGTACAAGTGATAAGTGCGTCTATTTTGTTCATTGGACGGTCTTTTATAGTTTGCATGATTTCTACTGAAATTGTAACATTTGTTTTCATTCACTATTATCCTTCAGTCTGCATGATGTATGAATGAAGTGGTAGAGTCAACCAATATAAATTAGACAGCGTTTGAGATTCTGTAAGCAATGAACGGCCGTTTCTTCCTCTTGTGGGTATTCTCAACGGTACTCACTCACAACCCTGTGCACGAGGGTTGAACCCATAGTCTTTGATCTAGATCACGAACTCTTAACCTTTAGACTACTGATTCGGCAAGGAAATATCTTCTTGGAAAAGCTTGGATCAGATTTCCAGGAGAAACGTTGAATTTACTTCAAATTCATTCGCTGAGATTTTACAAATATATTATTCCTATATAATGTATGAATTTATATAAAAATTAAGTGAATGCAAAAATCATGATATTTATCTTGAAGGTGAGAAGTTTATGACTTCATATTAGATTAAACTTATGTTACGTAATAAGAACTATACTAGTCTATTTATGATATTCGTGATATATGTCATCAAAACATATTCAGCATAATACCAGAATCTTTTGAAATATATGGATCAGAGAACTATTATTTATGAATACGAAAAACTAAATAGGGTATGGTAACTTTAATTCAAGGCATTTGCTACCTTATTAAAATTTCCGTTCCCTTTGTACTATTTAAACTTGGATTAATGTTAATTTTGTTATTTATTCTCTGAAGAAGTGGCTTACACTGAGTCACAAAACGTCAGAAAATCTAATTTTTCTACTCATCGAGATATTACAGATATATTATTCATTTATTTGCATATCCGTTAAAGTTTTTTATGAAGGATCCATCAACAGTGGCTACCTGTAACTGGTAACATGAGTTAGTATTACTCAGAATATTTTGAATATAACAAGTTTGCTTTGTTAAACATAGGCAAAGGATATGAAACATTTTGAAACGAATTACTTTTAAAATGCCTCTATCTGTGTGAGAAAAGCATTTCTGGATTCTCCATAGTATAAACGTGTAAATTGTATTAAGTGAACTACATAGACAGTATTTTATCTGTATAATTTAAACCCCATAACAACTGGATATAGTATGGGTAGAAACAAACTATATAATAATGATCAACAGTGTAACTTGCTCATACCACTGAGTGATTCTCATGGTTAACTCACAAATTAGTTTGTTACAGTCATGAAATTGTTGCTTTACATAATTACCAGCTTTATAAGAATATACTATCTCAAATAGGTTTTCTTCTTGATGTCATGCAATAACAAAATTAGATAGAATATTCCTAAAACTTATTATATAATCTTCTTTATCATGTAAAGGTCAAACAGATTATTTCTTGTTGACTACAATAGGAGTTTGAATTTATGTAAAGGTAAACAGAAAAATGTTATTCAGGGGGTCAAAACAACTTGAAAAATTGTAATGGTTTCCGTGACATGAACTAATATATTTACATCATTAGATTTGGTATGTGAGGTAAAAATATTTTAATTAACATAAGCAGAGGTTTTTATACTAAATATGCTTAATTATATATAATAGAAAATTTTAAATAATGAGATTCTGTCAAATAAATGTTTCTTCAGTTTCGTTTACTGGACTATTTATTTAGTTAAACACATAAATATTGGTACAAAAGGGCACCAGATATATATGGGCCACACAAATCTCGTTTGATTTGTGTGAGGGCCGTGATACTGCACAGGTGCCCAGGCTGAAGCAGGTGGTTTTTTTAAGGGGCCACA